ATATATATATTCATTAAACAACACATATATATATATATATATATATATATATATATATATATATATAGGTGTTCATAAAGTTCGTGTGCACTTTTAAAGAAATTTATAACTTTATTTGTATTTGCGATAGAAATAATTTGTAAAAAAATGTTATAAAGTTTAATGTGCCTAGTTTTAAGTATAGCTAAAATAACTAATGTGATTTCAGGCATTACTGTGAATCAGTTGGTAAATGTTTTCCGTGAACTGCAAAATCGTATTACCCTTTGTATTGTTAATGATGGAGGATATGTGGAAACTTAAATAAAATTTCAATAAAACCTTAAAAATATAGATTTACTTCTTTCTAATCATTTTTGCAAATTATTTCTGTCGCAAATACAAATAAAGTTATAATTTTTTTTAAAGTACACACGAACTCTATGGACACCCTGTATATAGGTTGCTGTAAGAGCTTATATATATATATATATATATATATATATATATATATATATATATATATATATATATATATCAGCTCTTACAACAGCGTTACCCATTATCAGACAAACTGCAAATATCTATATTGGTTAACCAGAAAGGGACATTTGTCAACGAGAACACACACACGGAACACATTCGAAACGGTGTCCGATATAATTTTGTAAAAATTACTCCCAGTCAGTTGCTGTGTATGTATAAATGTAGTCAACCACAAGGCCAACAACTGAAGATTAACCAGAGTGAACCTACGTTCAATGGCTTGGAAGATTACTTTAGTAACAATCATCTCCAAAAAGTTCTCTGTACAGATATGTCTACTCTAAACTTTGTCTATCACAAGGCCAAAACCTGAAGAGAACTCTTGTAATGCGAACTACCTGAAACGATTTGCAAAATTACTTTAGTAGCCATCATTCTCCAAAAAGCTCTCTGTACAGATAATTCTACTCTAAACCTTGTCTATCCGAAGGCCAACAACGGAATAGCACCCCTGTTGTGTGAACCTACATAGAACGGCTAGCGAGTTTACCTTAGTAACAATCTTTTCCAAAATGCTCTCTGTACAGATATTTCTAATCTAAATCCCAAGGCCAACAAATAAAAAGCACTTTTGTAGAGTAAAACTACGTGCAACGGTCTGCAAAATTACCTTAGTAGCCATCATTTTTCAAAAAGCTCTTTGTACAGATACTTTTACGCGAAACCTATTCTATCCCAAGGCCAACAAATGAAAAGCACATAAGTGCAACGGTTTGTGCGATTACCTAAAAGCCTTCTGTACACATATTTCTATATAGTCTAGCCCAAGACCAACAAGTGAGGAGTACTCTTGGAGTGCGAACCTACGTGCAACGGCTTGTGAGATTACCTTAGTAACCATAATTCAGATATTTCTAGTCTAAAAAACAAGTG